GGTAGGGCAGTGCCAGCTGCCAGCCTATGAGCAGAGCCTGGCAGGGCCATGAGGGTTTTGCCCCCCAAATGGGATTTTTTGGGGTGACCTCCCCCAGATCCAGGTGAGTCACCCAAGTGCTGTTTGCCTCCAAGGTTCCTGCCCCTCCGCAGCTCCCCACGGCAAGCCCCGCTCCCCGCAGACCCTGGCCTGCCAGCAGCTGAGCATCTGGGGCAGCCCCCACCACTGCTGTCCTCCCCCCTGCTGCAGCGGTACCTGGAGCATCTCCTGCTGCCCCCCCCACCCCAGCTTGGCTATGAGGAGGCTGTGCTCAACCCCTACTCCTACCACAAGGTAAGCCATGGGGCCAAGCCCCCTTCTCTCAGGTGGAAAGGTAGAGATGGACAGGGGGCTGCTACAGTCCCAGCACCATCCTTCTGCTAGAGCTGGGGTGCCCACCCTGGCTCTGGGGTGCTCTGCCATGAGTCAGGGGCTCTGTGTGGTTTGACCATGGCAGCTCTGTGTTTTGATTGCAGTTCAGCTACCAGGACACTGCTCACCCGCTCCCCAGCAGCTCCGCCAGGCAGAGCCCCGAGGCCTCCTCACTGCTGGGCCGGGTCCCTGCCCAGGCCCTCTTTGGGACCAGCCCTGTGGCCTCCTATGGTGGGCAGCCAGGAACGGATGGAGGGCATCTCTTCCAGGACTTGGGCATGCTTTCCCTGCCCAGAGAGAAAGCAAGCCACCCAGACTCTGCCAGCACCAGGCTCCAGCACAGCTTGCGGCTCCCCAGTGACTACAGGAACGTGGAGGAGAGGGAGCAGCCAGCACCCCTGGCTGCCCAGCCACCTCCTGCACAGACAGGTACCATGTCAGCCCAGGCACCAGCCATGAGCCCCATCCTGTCCCCACAGCCATGTTCCTCATGGCTCAGACTCTCCCTCCTCTTTAACTTCATGCCCACGGGCAGCATATCTCTCTGACCCCACCTGCCCTGGCTGCTGTCCCCAACATGTGTCCTTGTGTCAATGCAAAGTATTTGACCCGGTGCTGTGTCCTCTTGCAGATGCCGCCCTGAAGAGACTGGCCTCCCTCCTGGCCAGCTATGGCCTGGGGCTGCCGGAGCTGGGCCCCCAGCAGCTGAGCAGCCTCTCCACCCTCCTGCAGCTGCTCCAGAGCTCTGGTGAGTGAGGCACAGGGATGGGGCAGGCAGGGACTGGCAGTAGAGGGTGCCAGCATGCCTTTTTCTCTTTTGGAGGGGAGGGGGGTGTTTCCTCCTAGGGTGAGTGCCATGGGACCTCTGTCACTCTCCTGCCCAGGTGTTGCTGGCCCTGAAGTGCCCACAGCGAAACGGGTGGGGTTGCAGCAGGGTGGTGCTGGAGGAGGTGCAACATCGCAGGTAGGGGGGGGGTGTGTGCAGCGGGGCAGCCATCCAGGGCCATCCTTGGAAGTTCTAACCCTTCCCTTTTCCTCCTTCCAGGTGACAGAAGGGGACATGCAGCACAGAGAGGAGCCAGTATACCCTTCCTCCACGGTGCTGCCCCCCAAAATCCCAGCCAGTAGCTCCCCAGGGGATGGGCTGAGAGGCAGGGCAGCATCCTCACCAGCCCCCCATGCTGAGCCACAGCAAGGACATGGTGGGAATGCACTCAGGCCTGAAAATCCGATCGTAGTGGAGAAGAAGAGCTACAAAGAGACCAAGGATGGTGGGGCACAGCAGGGCACACGGCCACCGGATGAGTATGGCTACATCATCACGGACCAGAAGTGAGAGCCAGGGGATGGGTGAGGGGGGGTCTGTGGAGGGTCTGAACCCACCCCCCTGCTGGCTGTCACAGCTCCACGTGATCAGCTGAGCCTGTTTGGGTCTCCGGTAGGGGAGGGTGTCTGGTGGGGTTAGCTTCCCCATTCCCACTTCACCTGCAGCCCTTGATCCACCCCGCAGGCTTCCTGCTGCAGGACAGGAGGCTGGGATGGGCTCAGCCCAATGTGTGTGCACAGCTGCCTCTGTGTGCGGCAGGGGCGTCAGCTCACCTCTGCCACCACCCATCCCCATGCTATTGCCTCCTGCCCACCCTTACACCACTGCAGCCAGTACAGCCTTCGCTGCATGAGTGGGATTCCCTGTGCCTGCCTGTCCCCCTTTCCTGGCCACAAGGAGTCTGAGCTGTCCCCCTGCCCCACCACCTGCTCCTCACCCTTCCAATGTCCCCACAGGCCCCTGGGGCTGGCTGCTGGTGTGCGGCTGCTGGAGCTCCTTGCCAAGCACCTCCACCTCTCGACGGCCAGCTTCATCAGCAGCAGGTGAGGGGAGTGGGACTGTGGGGGGCTACTGTCACAGCCCTGACTGTGCACTGCTGCTGTGAGGTGGGGGGAGGGAGGAGGGACCAGGACCGTGGTGGGGAAGGGGAGGCTGCACTTCCCAGTCTCACACTGTATCTCCCCCTCCCTGGCAGTGTCGTGGGCCCTGCACTCACCTTCCGCATCCAGCAGAACCCCCAGAACTTCTCACTGTCAGATGTGGCCAGCCAGGCCGGTGAGTTGGGCAGAGGTCCACCTGATCCTGCTCCTCCCTTCCCCCCAGTTGCACGGTGCCCCTTCCTAGGGATGGGGAAGAGGGGTCTCCCACCACACATCCCAGTATCCTTAACTGAACTGGGGAGCTGGTGTGGGGTGGGCATTTGTCAGAGGTATCCCTTGGCTCTGTCTCTGGAGGGGGTCTCCTGGGTGGAGGGGAAGCACCCCTCTGACCATGTCTTCTGCATCTACAGAGCAAGCGAAGGCAGAGCTGGAGGCAGAGCTGGGCCTCAAGGTCGTGCAAACAGGAGTGGGAGAGGTAGGAGTGAGCGTGTCTATCCCTCGGGGTGGGGTGTTGGGGGACAGGGCAGTGGGGGTGCTGCCACCGGATACGAGCCAGGAAGCTCACTGTGCCTCAGCCCTGTGGTGCAGCAGCTTGGTGAGGGAGCTGTCCCTGTGGGTCAGTGGGGCAGCTGAGGATCAGAGGGCTCTGGGCAGTGTTTGGGCTGCTGTGCTGGAGACAGCTTATCTGGGATGAGCTGAAGCAGGACAGCTTCAATGACTCCCTTCCACCTGGCAGCATAATGCTGCCCACCAATCCCAGGGCACTCAGATATTCTGAAAACAAAAGCTCTGCAGGGTTTGAAGGCAGTCTGGGAAGGTCTCCTGGAGGCTTTCTTCCCTCCATCCCAGACCAGGGGGCTGCAGGCTGCACCCTGCAAGATTCATCCTCACCCTTGCCTCCCTCCCACCTGTGTATCACATCTCAGCTGTGGCCTGGGCACCCCAGCACTGGGCTGCCCCCAGAGGACTCCAGGGACCACTCCTAGGCAGGCAAAATGCCATCATGCCCCCAGAGAATGGCAAAGCAGTTGAAGGCAGGAATGGAACAGAGCCATCTGTCTTGAGAAGGGCACCCCCTCCCTGTGCTCCTCTGGGAAACCCTGGGAACAGTCCCTTGGCGAAGCAGAGGCTGGAGATGGGGGATCCAGCCTGGCTCTGGGGTTTGCAGCCTGGAGAGGGGAAATGGTGCAGCACATCCCCAACCCAAGGTCCCTGTTTCTCACCCTCCTGCCCTGTGACCATAGCTGTGGGCAGGGGGGGGAGGGAAGGAGGGAACCTTGGAGGAGGAGAGGCCACTGACACAACCTGTCTCCATCAGCAACATGTGGAGTGTCGCTATGGCAATGCCCTTTGATGTGGCAAGTGGCAGGAGCTGGGGGAGATGGCAGAGATGACGGAGCTGCAGCTCAGAGGAGGCTGAGGCAGCTTTGCAAGCCCCCTTCTACATGGGCCTCCCCAGGCTAGACCAGCTTGTGCTTTTCCTTTGTCCCCTTTCTTGAGCTCTCAATTTGGTGGGACTGGTGCAAGATTTGGGGAAGAATTTAGAGAGGCAGGGGGACAGAAGGGCACAGGCAGGCCTTGGGAGAGAGGCTCCTTCTCTCTCCTCAGCCCTGATGATGTGTCCAGACCTTCTGACACGTCTGGGGGCTGCAGGGCTGTTCCTTCTTGGATGCTTGGTGGAGGTGCTGGCCCTAATGGCTACCCCTGGATGTGGGAGTGGCTGGGCCCTGGCTGGGGGGCAGGCAGCAGCGGGGACCCCTGGGGCGGGGGCATCCCCAGGCGATGATGATGATGACGTAGGTGATGATGATGCAGTGTTCCCTCGGTAACCTCATCAGGCTCATAGCCAATGGGAGGCTGTGGCAGTGAGGTAATGCTGTCTCTGGCATCTCATTGGGCACAGGATATTTGGTGGTGGTGATGCTCCAGCACCTCTGTGCACCTGGCTATCAGGGGCAGGGGGCAGCATTCTGATCATCAGTGACTCTGGGCAAGGCTCTGGGAGGTCTTGGCTTTGGAAGTGGGGGAGTATCTTATCCAGCAAGGGCTCAGCACCATCCCATCCCAGCAGAGGACTGGCATGGATTGGGCTGTGTGGCCCAAGCCACAGGGAAGGAGCTCTGGAGGAACTACCTGCAAGGTGGCAGGGGCTGCCCTGTGTCCCAGCTGAGGAGGGGGATGGGGAGGACCTGTCCTGCAGCCACTGCAGCTGGGATGGCACCAGCCCTCTGGCAATGCCGGTGAGGTGGGTGGCCACCCCCTCACCCCGTGTCCTACCATGGAGCAATGGCAGAAGGAGAGAGCCAGGCCCATTCGGGGAAGCCCCCTGGGAGCAGCAATTGCTGCCCTGGACCCAGTGCTAGTGTGGTCATTAACCTGCTGGTCTGAATCTGGCCCTTGTTGACCTCCAGCTGGGCAGGAGCTCAGTGAACCCGAGCTCCATGGGTAGTGCGGGATGAGGTCTCTGCCCCGCCAGCCCCTTGCTAACCCTGCTTGGCTCCGCCGCCAGCGAAACGAGGCTGCTGCCTACTCCC